CCTAGAAAAGGAAAAACAAACTAATTCCAAACTGAGTAGAAGACAGGAAATAATTAAGAAGGACATAATTAAGATTAAAAGAATGAATGAAATTGAGAACAAAAAATATTACAAAAGATGTGTGCAACAGAGTTAGTTCTTTGAGAAGATAGCAAAGTTGATAAACTCTTAGCAAACTAGCTAGAAGAAAGAGGGACAAGGTCCAAATCAACAAAATTAGAGATGAAAAAGAGATATTGTCAAAGACACTCTGAAATCTAGAGGATCTTTAGAAACTATTTTGAAAACTTATACTCCAGTAAAATGGAAAATCTGGAAGACATGGACAAATTTCTAGACACATAACAAAGACCTACCCAAACAGAACAGGGAGATATAGAAAACCTAAGCAAGCAATGAAATTGAAGCAGCAATTGAAAGCTTTCCAACAAAGAAAAGCCCAGGACCAGATGGATTCTCAGCCAAGCTCTATGAGACCTTTAAAAAAATCTAACATCATTCTTTGTCAGATTATTTCATGAAATAGGAGGGAACACTCCCAAATACATCCTATGGAGCCAGTGTAACCATCATACCAAAACCACACAAATATGCATTAAGGAAAATGCAGACCAGTATTCTTGATCAACATTAATGCAAAAAATCCTAAATAAATATTAGCAAGCCACATTCAAAAACACATCAAGAAGATGACATACTGTAATCAAGTATGTTTCATTCCATGATGCAAGGTTAGTTCAACATCTGCAAATCAATAAATGTAATTTACCACTTAAGCAGAATTAAGGCCAAGAATCACATGGTCATCTCAATAGAGTCAGAAAAGATTTTTGATAAATCCAGGACCATTCGTGTTAAAAAACAGTGGAAAAGCTAGGGATGGAAAGAACTTACCTCAACATCATAAAGGCTATATATGACAAACCTGAAGCCAACATTATAGGCATACTGAAAACATTTCCTCTACAACCAGGAGCAAACCAGGATGCCCACTCTCACCACTCTTATTCAGTATAGTTTTTCTAACTCTAGTACGGCAATCAGGCAAGAGAAGGAAATTAAAATGATACAGATAGGAAAGAAAGAAGTCAAATTATCTTTGTTTGCTGATGACATGATTCTACATCTAGAAGACTCAAAAAACTCCACCAGAATACTTCTAGAGATGATAAATTTATCAAAGTTGTAGAATATAAGGTAAATATTCATAAATCAATAGCTTTCCGATACTCCAGTAGTGAATATACGGAGAAGGAAATCAGGAAAACTATCCCATTCACAATAACCTACCACCACCAAAATAAATACTCAGGAATAAATCTAACCAAGTGGTGAAAGACCTCTAAAATGAAAACTATAGAATGCTGAAGAAAGAAACTGAAGAAGACCTTAGAAGATGGAAAGATCTCCCGTGTTCTTGGATAGGCAGAATTAATATTGTCAAAATGACCATATTATCAAAAGGATTACGGAGATTCAGTGCAACCCCCATCAGAGTACCAATTATATTCTCTCAGAACTGGAAAAAACAGTCCAAACATTCATATGGAAGAATAAAAGACCCAGAATAGCCAAAGCAGTCCTGAGCTAGAATAATGATGCTGGAGTCATCATCACACCACCTGGTTTCAGATAACAAAAAGAGCATGGTATTGGCACACCCACATACACACACACAAAAGACATGAAGACCAATGAAATAGAATAGAACACAGAGATGAACCCACGTAGTTGCAGTCATCTGAGACTTGGCAAAGGTGCCAAAATCTATCTTGGAAAAATATATAGTCTTAACAAACGGTTTTGAGAAAACTGGATATCCATGTGTAGAATGAAACTAGGTCCTTCTCACCCTGCATGTAAGTCCAATCAAGTGGATCAAAGACCTTGGAATTAGACCAGAAACTTTGCAACTGATAGAAGAAAACAGAATCAACACTCCAACATATTGGCGCAGACAGCAACTTCCTTAACAAGATCCCCGAAGCTCAAGAAATAAAACCAAGAATCAACAAGTGGGATGCCATCAGATTAAAAAATCTTCTGAACAACAAAGGAAATGATTAAGAGCATGACAAGAGAGTCTACAGAATAGGAGAAAAATTTGCCAGCTACTCCTCTGATGGGGGGATTAATACCCAGAATACATAAACAACTCAAGAAAACAGCAAAACAAAACAAAAAACCAGTTAATAAATGGGCAAAAAACCCAATCAGATATTTCTCAAAGGAAGAAATATAAATGGTCAACAAATATATGAAAAAATGTTCAATATCCATGGCAATCAGGGAAATGCAAACCAAAACTACACTTTGAGATTCCATCTCAATCCAGTTAGAATGGCATTCTCAAGAACAGAAACAATAATAAATGCTGGTGAAGATGGGGGGGGGGGGAAGGGATACTCATGAATTGTTGCTGGGACTGCAAATTAATATGACCACTTTGGAAAGCAGTATGGAGATTCTTGAAGAGATTGGGAATAGAACCACCCCATGACCCAGCTATCCCACCACTTGGTATTTATCCACATAAAGTGAAATCAGCATACTGTAGTGATACAGGTACATCAGTGTTTGCTGCAGTGTAATTCACAATAGCCAGGCTGTGGAACAAGCCCAGGTACCCATCAATAGACAAGTGGATTAAGAAAATGTGGTTTGTATGCACAATGGAGTTTTACTTGGCCATAAAGAAGAATTAAATTATATCATTTCCTGATAAATGAAACTAGAGAATATCGTGCTAAGTGAAGTAAACCAGACCCAGAAAGTCAAGGACGAAATGTTTTCTCTCATTTGCAGAAGTTAGAGCTAAGCAAGCGGGTGGTGGTGGAAGTGGGGGGCCACTTGGATCTCACGAAAACAGCGGTATGATCAGTGGAGTAAAGGAGACTGAAGAGGAGGGAAGAGGGATAGAAAAAGTGAAGGAATGTGGTATTAATTTGATACAGTGAATTTGGCCTTTGGATGTATCTACAAAGTCCCAATTAAAATAGAAATAAATAGAAGGAAGATCAGTAGAGCAGAGGAAGGGGAACAAGGGGAGGGAGGAGGAGACTGCAAGATAAAAGCACTAGGGACTGAAATGGAGCAAATTATATTCCAAGATTTTATTAATAATTTGAAATGAACCCCACCATTATGTATAACTAATGCACTGATTTCTGCTTTTTTGAAAAAGAGGAATGAACATGCAGTTTCCTTCAAGTTAGTGGTTATCCCCTGAAATTAATGGTTCTATTGCCTAGCTTTACTGTATTTAGTTCTGCCAGTCTATAAGAAAATACATTATTCATTAAAATTTTGAAATTTAAGCTGAGGACCACTGATTTTAATATGAACTTAGAAATATCATTTTACTACTGAATGTATTTCTATTGAGAATAATCCAGGATTTTGAAATATTCTCTTTGGCTTAGAGAATTAATCAATGACAGTGCTTTATTTTAATTCTACCATTCCTCATTAATAAAATGGACTTAACTGCTATAAATGTAATTTTGTCCTTATTGATTTCTTTTTTTATTATTTTTTAGTTGTTGATGGACCTTTTTTTAAAAATTTGTTTGTGGTGCTGAGAATCGAACTCAGCCTCACACATGCTAGGCAAGCATGCTACCACTGAGCCACAACCCCAGACCCCTTATTGATTTCTTTAGAAGTTTATTTTATCTACACAAATGTAGATATAATTTGGCTTAGTGTTTTCTGATCATGTAAATCATTGCTAGAGAAGTTTGGACATCACTATGAGATGAAGGAATGTAATTTGATAAACTATGAGGAAAATATAATAAGGCTGTTAGGCCCATTCCTTAGAACTGCTGTTTTCCTGGCAAGAAAAGTTTAATCAGATTTGTACAGTAGAAATGACAATTGTATGTTGTTTAAAAATGTCTGATTCAGCATTTCGCAAACCCTGTTTTGAGGAACATTCTTTTGTGAGATAGTAATATTTAAGGAAAAAGAATTTAAAAAAAGGTTGTGAGATCAAAGAAATTTACAAATTGCTACAAATAAATTTATAAAATGCTGTGGGTTAAGCAAAGTGAAATGTTTCCTTATTTGAGTATTTCTGAGGGTTTTTTTTTTTGTCTCTCTGTGTGTGTGTGTGTGTGTGTGTGTGTATACATGCTTGCATGTGCTTATATGTATGTGGGCTGGAGATCAAACCTAAGTTTTGAGCATGATGGAAAAGTACCATTCTATAACCCCATTCGGTCTTAAGAGTTTTTAGTATGTTTATTGTGAAACCAAGGCTAGGAATGGTGTTTTGTTTTGTTTTACTTTTTAATCTCAGAGGGAATAAATACTACAATACCTTGGAATTTTTTCCAAACAATATTCTTACCTGTTTTCATCCCCATTACTCAAGTAGTATTGGTGAATCAATGTGTTTTATAGTTTGAAAATGTCCCCTACATGATCTGGAGCATCTCCACCTTTGGTTAAAAGAGCTTCTTTCCCTAATTTTTTCATTCACAGAACATATCTTCTTGAGATTATTTTAATAATTTCAAGAACTTAGAATGACATTTTGAGATCTTTGGACAGATTGTAGTCTTCAGAAGTAAACTATAATTTTCCTCTACCAGCTAATTGTTTTTTAGTTTTGGAAACTCTTCTTCCTTGGATTTTGTAACATTATTCGCCTCTTAATCTCCTAATTTTTTAAAAAAATTATGACTATAGAATTTAACATATAGTATCTTTAAACTTTGAAAAAGTTCATATTGGCCAAAGAGATGATATAACAAAAAGTTAACTTTTCTCAATGTTGTATTTCAGTAAATTAGTAGATATATTGAAGAATCATTTGTGGAGAGGTATTGTTAAATGTTATGTAATAATAGTAACTTGCTTAATTTGGTTATCAGTATTGAGATGATTTATAAAATCTCTTTTGATTTAGAACATATAATTGTATACATCTATGCTTTATTTATGTGTGCATATATATATATATGTATATATGTAACTTTATATTTGCTACCCAGAAATTTCAAGACATTGAAGAAACTCATCTCATTCACATAAAGGAAATAATCGGATCCTTGTCAAATGCTATAAAGGAAATTCATTTGCAAATAGGCCAGGTAAGTATTTTTACTTTATGTTGAATCAATTTATGACATTTTATGTTTATTTATGGCTATTTATGAATCTTTATCACACTGTCTAAAATTAATATGATACTGGATTATTTCAGATAATGAATATGTAATTACAAGCATTTTTTGTTTTTGGTTAATAAGTATTATAATTCAAATTATTTTTTCAAAACTAAGTATGCTCAGTCCTCTTTACATTTAAAGTTTGAAGTTGCTGATTCTTGAATATTTCTGTTTTAAACTTCAATAAGTTAGAGAAATTGATCTTAGAAATGTTCTGGAAATATAAAAGAAGTTTAGTGATGAGAATTTTGGGTGCATTGAAATAACAATACAGAAAGATGAAGTCTTTTATTTTTTACTATTAAAACCCCCAAACTAGGGCTGGGGTTGTGGCTGAGTTGGGTGGTAGAGCGTTTGCCTAGCGTATGTGAAGCACTGGATTGGATCCTCAGCACCACATAAAAATAAATAAATAAAAATAAAGACCTATCAACAACTAAATAAATAAATAAACAAACCTCCAGACTGTTTTCATTGTCTTTATAAGTTTTAATTATCATAAGAATTTTATGTCTAAAACATTCAAAAGGAACTGGAGGGCTGGGGATATAGCTCAATTGGTAGAGTGCTTGCCTCACATGTGCAAGGCCCTGGGTTCAATCCCTAGCACCAAAAAAAAAAAAAAAAAAAAAAAAAAAAGACAAAATATGAGAACTGGAAACTACCTTGATTTCTAATGCTGTGAGGCCGTATCTTAAAGGAGCAAAGGTATGTAGTTATTGGTCTTCACAGATCTGCTAATACTGTTAGGTAATAGTATGTTAGGTAAATGAAAGTTCCCAAATGCCCTTGGATCAAGACAATAATTTTTTTGTTTAATAAATTTTAATTGCTTTGTAGAAGTTTTATCTGAAATATAGTAAAAATATTTATGGATAAATAAACATTTTTTCTTTGTTTTAATAGGTTCATGAAGAATTTATAAACAATATGGCTAATACAACCATTGAAAGTTTAATACAAAAATTTGCTGAGTCAAAAGGCACTGGAAAGGAGAGACCTGGTAAGATGATAAACCACAAATTTCTCACTTAGTAACAAATACTGCCTTTAAATTCATGCATGTATGGGGTGATTTTGACTTTTTATCTCAAGTTTAACTAAATAACATTTGAAATTATAAAATGGAACCAAACCTAAAAATAGGCATACCTAAAAATGTGTAAAATCTCTGATGTTGTTTTCTTGGGATGTGATAATATGTTAAATTATGATTTTTATTTGCTTTTCATAGCTTAATAATTCAGTATTATTTAAAATCATTATTATAACCTATACTAAATTTGCTTTTATATTTGTGAAAGGAGAATTAGCTTTATAAGACCATTTTAATAAAAAAAAAAAGATTGGAAGAGAATATTGAACCCTCAGAGACATTAAAACCAACATAGAACCTTTCTTAAAATTCTTTTTCTTTTTCTTTTTTTTTTTTTTTGAAAAAAAGGAGAGGAAAAAAAAAAAAAAGATTTATTGCTTTGCTAGCAAAGGAGAAACACAGGAGACTCCTGTCCCAGAGGCTGTGATTCTTTCTTTCTTTTCTCATACACATGTGTACTCAACAAATTGAGTACTAACATTATACTGGACACTATTCTAAGCATTGGGGATATACCAATGAACCAATGGATATGGGAATTTTAGTTCCTATTTTTTGTGAATAAATGATTATAGAATTATTCTACTTTTAAAAAGCATGTTATAATATATTGGGTACAATTAATAGATCATTTCCCTCCTTTACTTAGAATCTTCCAGACTTTTCGAATCTTTGTGTTAGTTACTATACCAAGTTCTTGCAAGGTACTTGTTTCACTCTACAGGTAAAAATAATTTAGTCCAGTTAAGAAGTTAAAATATGGGAGCTGGTGCTGGAGCTCAGTGGCAGAGAGCTTACCTAATATACGTGAGGCACTAGGTTTGATCCTCAGCAACACCACATAAAAATAAATAAATAAAATAGGAGTATTAAAAAAATCACTAATTAAAAAAAGAAATTAAAATATGGTATGGAATTCAGGAAAGTAGATAAGTGATTTGTGAAGTTTGGGAGCCTTTTTTTTTTTTTTTTTTCCGTGCAGTTCACTGAACTAAGGCTTGAAATTTGAATCATCGTTTCTTCCCAGGTTTAACTAATTTTAAAATTTACTTATCTAGTTGTGTTAGTATTTCTTCCTCACACTTTCTCTCCATTTTTTCCCCCACCTGCCTAATTACTTTGTAGGTTTCTCATACTGGCATAGGACAGATTTCTTCTCCAGTCCTTTTTAAATGTTATGTAATACTCACCTTTGGAGTATGCATTTGTGAACTTATTTCACTACTTATAAATTTTTGAATTTTCCTTGTAGAAGGATTATAAATTAGACTCCAACTTGTATTCAAAGCCTTTATGGATCTGGGCTGACTAATCTCAGTACTCTTACTTTCCTTATTTCTATACCAGTACCTGAACTGCTAGCTATTCCCTATATATACCAGGTTTTTCCCTTAGTATCTCAGTTGTTTTTATGACCTTACCCTAGAAAATGCTAGATCCCATTCCTTTTCCTGTCCCATATTTTCTCATTTATGTGTTGAATGAATGTAGTCTTAAAGTGGCAGGTTGTATATTACATCTCTCATCAAAAATAAGAGAAAACTTTATACTTTTTTGGTTTTCTTGAGTTGTTGCTGTCTATTTTAATTTTTAATAGTTTTGCACTTATGAAAAAAGTGACGTATTTTATGCACCTGTTTTTTCTTTTAGTAAATAGTGTATTTTTATTGAATGATGAACAAATGGACATATAATGGTAAGATTCAAGTGTTAAGGAGGTTGGAGTGGGTGAATTTGCTGTTAGAAAATTTTTATTATGTAAATACTAAATAATTATGGTTAATGTTTAGTGAACACTTACTCTGAGCTATATACTATGACAACCATTTGTAGGCACACTTTGATCTTCAGCAACTCTTTGAAGTAGGTATTATTATTCCAATTTTATAGATGAGGGAAACATTGAGAGGTTAAAAGATTTGCCTATGCTAGTGTGTGTCAGAACTGGTCTTCAATTCCAGGATTCTGTTTTGTTTGTTTTGAGAAAAACGAAAAAGGGGTTGAGGTTGAGGCTGAGTGGTAGAGCGTTTGCTTAGCGTGTCTGAGGCACTGGATTCAGTCCTCAGCACTACATAAAACGATAAATAAATATAGCTATTGTATCCATCTACAACTAAAAAAATTAAAAAGGAAAAAGTTATATTGTTTTGTTAACAAAGGAGAAATTCAGGAACTCTTGTCCCAGAGCCTATGATTCTATCATGGGGAAATGGGGGGTGGGGAGCTGGGGTGGTTTAAGGAGGTGATTGAGGGAAATGAGATCAGGCAGGAGAGATCAAGAAGGAGAAGATCAGGGAACAGAACATCAGGGAGGAGAAGGTCAGAGAAAAGAGGACCAGGGAAAAGAAGGTCGGGAAAAAGAAAAAAACATATAAGTTTTAAAGCGACAAGGGATATAGTCAAAGCATCAAATGAATCCCTATTCCATTTCTCCACTGTCAATTTGTAGCTTCCATTTTTATGGAAAGTGGGCGACTATATTTCCAAGCTATTTCCTGCTGAAAGGGGGCAAAGAAGGAGATCTTTGGAAGCTGTTTACTTGTTACCCATTCTCTCTTCTGGTTTTTTGTTGCATAATTGCAAAGGGTGGAACAGCAACAGAGCAGTAAATGGAAAGACACATACACAAGGGCAGTGATGAGTGAGGTAGTCAGAATGAGGTAGAGAAGACGTAGTAAAATAGACTTAATATTTCTTGGTATACAAGAGAAGAGGCTAGAAAACCAGTCAGTTAGGCCTATTCCCATTCCATCCAAAAGGGATGTGTGGTGGTCAAGGGTCTGTTGTGGCCAGGTTGCTAGTTACTGATCTTTTCAATACTGGTCTCCACCTGTGAGAAGGTGTTAATATAAACGCAGCAGTATGTATTAGCTATAGCACAAACTCCTTCTTACTCGGCTAACAGGTAGTCTAATGCCATGCAGTTATTTAGAACTACCTTGGCCAAGAAGTCCAGACAAGTCTGTAAATTTGAGACGGACAAGGCTGTCTCATTGGCCAAGTTGATCAAAGTTTTTGACAGATTTTGGAGGACCCAATGGCGTGCCCCAGTTCCCCACCAGGGCAGTAAGGTAGCCAAAAAAGTATTCATCGCTATGAGGAATTCTACCAGGGAGGTCCTATGCCAGTCCAGTAAAAAAGCTTTAGGGAGCTTGCCCAGTGAGCTGATTCCTTTAAATAATGAATTGAAATGGTATCTAAATTCCCTAGAAAACATTGGGTGGGAGTTGTGAAGTTTCTGAGGCATTCGAAAGCCCAAGGATAGTTATTAATTTTATATGTGAACACCTGTACTGCAGGGGCCCAGAAAGCCATTGTTTTTCTTTAAAGAAATCTAGTAGGTCCCCAATAGGAAATAATTCCCAACTTTAACTTTTGTGCATTCCATCCAAGAATGGGCTGGGAAGGAGTAAGCAATTAGTTACACTGTAATCTTTTCTGTGAGAAATTAGACAATATTTTGTACACACAAAGGTGTTTGTTCTTGTTCTGGAGGAGGTCTCGTTTCAAGATATTCTGGAATTTGTATTTATGGACCAGGAAAATGGCATTAGATGCATAAGAGGAAGAGTGAGAAAGGGAACATTGAAGAGTGTCTCAGATGTGTAATGCATTACTCAAACACAATACATAATGGTGCAGGCTCGGAGGTCTCATGTCGGTGCCCAGTCTCCCTTCATCTGGTATCTGAGTAAGTTTATAACTGTATGTACAAAGGGGTCATCATGGGCCATAGAAGATTATGCTCTTGGAAGGCAGATCATCAATCAACCTCCTGATGCAAGGTAGCCAAGGTCTGTGCTATTCTAACCAAATTGTTGTTCTTTCAGCCTAGAGAGGGAATGGGGATAAGCATCAAAGTTGGTAAAAGCATCAAATCTCTCATTATGTTTCCTCAAGTACATCTCCTAAGGGTTCTGATGTCCATTCGGGGGATGCAACTTCCTGCAAGTCTCTTGGATACTTTTTCACTGTAGTATGATGAACCCAGGGTTTTATTCCAGCAAGTTTCAGGGATGTGTGGGTTATCAGAAGCATGTCATTAAGTCCTGTCCACTTTTCTCACAGTTGTTGCTCCAGTCCCTGTTCTTTCCAGGTCTTTTTTTTTTTTTTTAATATTTATTTTTTAGTTGTAGCTGGACACAATACCTTTACATCATTTATTTTTACGTGGTGCTGAGAATCAAACCCAGGGCCCCACATGTGGTAGGCAAGCGTTCCACCTGTACAAGCAAATATCTGAAGTTTCCTATGGTATGGGGCATTTAGGTAAAATCATCAAAAGTCTGTGTTCCCACATGTTGTGTTCCTCACAGTAGGCTGCCTTTCAGTGTTGGGATTTTTACCGGCATATAATGCACAGTTTCTAGTAACCTGCTGAGTGATTTTTTGGAGGTGTGGTCCTTGCAAATGGGGCTTGATAAGATTCACCAAAGTATCCCTCCCATTTTGTGTATTCACATGTAGATGTTTCACCAAGGACCAGACCAGTCTTTCAGACAGGAGGATGAGTCCTTGGGAATTTTGTCTCCACCTGGCAGTACTATCCCAGGAATCGAAACCCCATTCTTTGGGGCTGGGGTTGTGGCTCAGTGGTAGGGGAACTTGCCTAGCACGTGCAAGGCATGGGTTCGTTCCTCAGTGTCACATAAAAGTAAACAAACAAAATAAAGGTACTGTGTCCAACTACAACTAAAAAAATAATAACAGCCCATTCTTTGTCTCATTTTTCATCTTCCTCAGTATAAATGGGCTTGTATTAGTCCAGTTCATGCTGAGGTATCAGAGCTCTAATAAATGGTGGCTTACTCTTGCAGCTCTTTTGACTGCCCTAGTGGCAGCTTGATTTCCCCTTGCTTCGGTAGTGTCTACCTTCTGGTGACCGGAACAGTGCATGATTGCCACCT